TGATTCTTGCAAATACAATTGAATTTGAAGGTTCATCCAATAACAAAATGTTAATCATATTGATTTAGTTTTATCATTCAATTAACTAATAACATTACGATAAATTGATTAAAGGTTATTGTTTATAACTACTGATTTAATAATCAATTTGATTGATTGGTTAAATTTATCAGATTTGCTTGTGGTCAGTTTGTATCCGTTATAATGTTATGAGTTTAAATTGTTTATTACTGTAATTATCATCTGATTAAGATTCACAACAATTAACCAATTAACTAACTTTTGTTGTTAATGCTATTTTTAAGCAATCAGGAATTGTTATTAATTGTAAATTCAAATGAAATGGTCACACAAACAATGCAATTAAGTTGATTAACTTTGTTGATTAGGATTAACTTTTTCTCGTTATAAAAGTAAAATTTTCACTCATCAAATTATCAACCAATTGTTACAATTTAATTTAATTCTGATTATACAAAAGCTTAAACATACACTAAACTTAATCATCATGATAACAATTAACTAAATACACACACACACAATTGTCTTGGTTGTGTAAACTAATCACGAAAATAATAGTAACAATAATCAAAATATAAACTACAACAAGAATACAAAATTGGTCAACAATTAAGAATTAACTTTAATCTTCCTCCTTCCTTACTAATCAACATCTCCAACAATTAAAAGCGGAAGGGTGTGGACAAGTGATACATTTCTTCCCAAGGAAATGACCAGTCCAGTGAAAGTTAATCTATTATGATTGTAGAAAAATAAATTGTTACAATTAACTAAAAATCTCAACCCTAAACAATACAGAAAACAGAATCAACAATAATTAATAATATCAAGTTGCGAATCAAATTTCCGAAAATGAAATAATCTAAATCAATGAAAACAATTAAGAAACAAACAAAACTTATCACAATGTGAAAAGTATTCAACAAGGGTGACAATTAATTTTGATTCTAATTGTGATTAGATTAGGCAAAAGTGAAACAATCAGTAAATTGTAGGTATGATTATCCTTCCGATTGATTCAATTGTTGGTTGATACATTCACTTTGTCTCCGAGTTAACAATTAAATCATCAAGTGATTAAATTGTTTTGTTTTTTGTGTCTTGATTACGATTCAAATTACAATTAATCGTGATCTTAACAATTTAGTAACATTGTTTATGATTAAATTTGCTTATTGAATTTGCAATGAATTAACTTGTTGTTCACTAAATTAAAAGTTTAATTGTTATCTCAATGAATGAGGTGAAAATTACCCGATGATTTACAATTTAAAATCAAATTAACTCATTGTATCCTAATTGTGATGGTAAATCTAATTTTCAACAATTCAAATTGTAGCAAATTTAATTTTTTATAATTAACTTTTCTCCTTTTTTTCATTCAATGTAATCCTATTTGTCTAATTATCACCTTATCAAAGGTTGACCAGTAGCCATTGTCCAGGGTTTTTAATCATAATTAAAGTTAATTGTTGAAAGTAAAATTGAAAAAACATTTTAATCATCAACCAATGATCAGATTTTCATCATGATAACGGTAAAAGTTGATTGTTGAAAAGTTTTTTTTGATTGTTACCTTGATTGAGATGAAGGTAATGACGTTTAAATCACGTTTCTGGTTTCAACAATTAACAAATTGTTTGAATCCTTATCTCTTTTTTTTCTGAGTTAATTGTAGCAGTTTATTAGATTACCAATTGATTAATTATTGAAAATCAATGAATAACTTTGATATAAAAGATGAACATGATTAACTGATTGCTATCGTAACTGATTAATGAGTAAACACATTCACCGTTATTAATTGTACAATCAAAGTGATTTACTTGATTGTTATCAAATCAATCAAACCAATTGAGTAAAAATGTTGAAAACAAAAGTGAAAGTTAATTGTTAAACCAGGTGAATTAAAATTAACCGTTGTTACCTAATGATCAAGTTAATTAATCCAACCAAAGTCATCAAAAATAATCAACAATCAACAATCATGATCATGATAATTAATAGTTAATCATAGGTTGAGATTTTTCCGCAAGAAATGATTGTTTGTTGATTATATGATGATTATAATTAAGGATTAGAGATGATTATGATTATTATAAATCCAGTTGAGTTAATTTGATGACAATTTGTTTTTGCTATTTGTTGATTAACCAACACGCGATCATGATTAGTGTGTAAATATTGGGATGGATATTAAATATTACAACACGTACATAGATTAATCAACAATTTAAGTTAATCATGATTAAGGAAAATTAGATGTTTTTTTTTCATTCGAATCGTTGATTTATCTTGATTGTGTTGGCACAATTTAAATGTTGGTAACAATCAACAATCAAGACCATCATCATCATCAACCATCAGTCTCTTGACCACGTAATTTAATCATTCCGGTCAATAGATTTAAATTTATCATCGGGATGATGATTAGTTGTTGTAACAATTAACAATTATGGATCAATCAATCAACAAGTAGTTAATTGGTTTTCTTTTACTGAGTAATTTAAATTAATTGTGTTCACCCTTTAGGCTTTAAACTGATCTAGTTATTAGTTTAATTGGTTAAATAATCAATTGTTTTTTTCTTGTAATTACTGATTTGAATATGTGTCTACCTTACCGTCCGAGTGGTCATCAGAGTCAATGTTGTATTGGTCAGTTTTTAATTGTCTTAATGGGTCAAAAGTAAATTAATTTACCTGAAATAATTAGAAGATGATTTTGTTTTGATTGTTATTTAATTGTTGACCAGATTACGGATACAAATTAATTATTCATTTTATGGTTTCTTGATTGTCAATTAGTGTTGACAGAGTTGTCAACTTGCTTATTACAATTAATTTGTTGTTAAATTGTTATGATAATTGATTAGTTTGTTACAAGTTATCAGATGATTACTATTAATTGAGTTGGAAAAAATTAACTGTAAACAAAAATTGATAATTGTGATTAGGAAATGAAGTGATTTCTTAATTCATATTGGTTTGAAATTCCTTGATTATGATCAATAAATCAAATCAAATCAATCAATCAATATCTACTTATTGGAGGGAAAACGGACAACAAACAATTAACTGATAACAATTGACAATCAAATCATATTAATCAACTATTACATCAATTTCCAGTTTATTTTTCAATTAAATCAATTCCTGTAATTAGTTTAATGATAACATGATTGTTGCCAAGTTAGAATTAACAATTAAACAAGCTTGGTTAACAAATTAATTTCTCAGGCGTAAATTGATTGTAGTTACTTTCTTTGACAATCAACACTAATCACCTTAGGAAATTAAATTAACATAGCATATCAAGAAAAGCGTTTAATTATGATGTCCAATTGATACAAATAAACACCAACTAATGATTAACTAATTGCTGGAAAGGGTTATGGTGATCATTTTAAATCATGGCTACAATCAAATCAAATCAAATCAAATCAAAATGTCAAACGGTCAATGATTAGTGACCATAATCAGAAAACTTTTATTTTCAATCAAAATGTCAATAAACTGACCACAATTGATTAGCTAATGTCCAGTCATAGTCAATGGAAATTTGTTTTATCGGTCAACTTGATTGAATCAATCGCCATCATGGTTAAGGATTTGAAGACTGACCATTGAATAGATACTTTATTTCACTGACCAAGGAACGTTATTAGTTAGATGACCAATAACTTTTGTGATAGATTATTGGTCAGTCGAAGGTCAATAATACGTGATAACTGTTGATGAATTTAACTTGATGAGAATCTCCAAATGATTAACTTTAATTTTGTTCTAAATTAAATCATTTTAAAGGTTAATTGTTGCCTGAGATTATTTTCTTCATCTTCTTCTTTCAATTCTCTGGCCTTAAAATGACCTCTTTCATGTCCGGTGTCTTCCCAAGATTTAATTGTAAACGAAAACAAAATTTTAAGTTCATTTAGAGGTCATTTTTCCGTTTTTTTTCTTCTTCCTTCTGGTCAATTGTCCACTTCGAAACTGTAATAACAATAATATACATAATGAACATGTGATTGTTTTGGTGGAAAAAAGTTGATTATTAGTTAACAGTTAATTTTGTTCACTGGTCAACTAGTTAACGGCACTTTTCATTCAGGTCGATTCTCACAATTACAATCATTTAACTGACCACAATTTTGGTAGAAACTTTTTCACTTCTTTAAACTGGACACTGTAAAAGGGATAGTGGTCAGTGAATACTGGATAACCATTACGATTATGATAAATTGTCTAATTGTTGATGAAAAAAAAAATGAGAATTCAAAAATCATCATTATGATATATGAAAAAAATGGAAACTTTTTTTCACCTTTTCTGTAATTAGATATTGTGTTTGAGAAACTGTTTGACAATTAAGGATTAATTGTGAAGGTTGATTGTTAATTATCTGATTGTGATTAAACATCAGGTATAACCTTAAACCTGAATTAACCTTAATCATCATGATTAAATTAATAAATCACAACTTTATTGATATAAACAACAAATCACAGTTATTTAAACGCATCAGAATCATTGATTATCATGAGCTATTGATTGTTAAATAAACAATTATATTTAATAACAATCAATCAATTTTGTTGTTATTCAATCATTAAATTGGCTACTGTATTTGTTTTCAAATAGATTAACGATTAACTTTATTAATTATTAACTCTTACAATTTAACCAATGGTCAGAAACTTTCATTTTCATGGTCAAACTTTAATTGTTTGGTCAATTAATACAATTAATATTTATATAAATATATTTGTATTACTTTCACTAAGTTAATTGTAACCTTGATTATCAAATAATCAACTATTAGCAAGCTTCAATGGTTTAGTTGATGATTAAATTAACAATGATAATTAACTTCAATTGTGATCGTTGTGATAATAATAAAAAAAGTTTCACAATTAACTTTTCCCGCTTATTAACAGTTATGATAAACAACAACAATCAAGAAACAATTAAATTGTTGACTATTTGATATTATACAGTTTTAATTTGGTTAAAAAGGTTTCCGTTTAATGAAAGGAAACCAATTAAGTCTAATTGTTGATTAGTTAAACAATCAAGTTAATCAAACAGACAAAAAAAAGATGGAACTTTTTTTTCCAGGTAAGACAAATGACCAATAACTGACCACTAGTGAGATCGCCAAGTCTCACATGAAGCTAATTGTTGATTCTAATTGTTTAGTATATGAGAAAAAAGGGTGAGATGGAATTATTTTTTATTCCAATTGAAATTAATCCGCCAAATCTTGAGAAAGATAAACTTTGAGGCCTCGAGCGGAAAGAAAATGAGCTCGTACCTTTTTACGAGTTTTTTTTTATCCCGAATATCGAACTTGACCTGGAAAAGAAAAGAACAAATATCAAAGAAATTAGTTTCGTTCTCGAAATATAATAGAAAAAAGAGAAAAACAAATCACCAATCAATTAGAACGAAAATTTACCATTAGTAATAATTAATCGTATTCGAAAAGTTATATTGTTTTCGAAGTTCGAAATTTTCTTTTTTATTCTTTTTCATGGTTTCTCATTACAGGTAATATAATCTAACGGTAAACAAACAGGTAGCACTGAATAAATGGTTTTATAAGTGATCATTATTATCTGAGATTAGTAAAGGATTAAGAATTGATCATTCGAGTCCCCGCTGATTATTTACTGTTACAATTAAATGGTTATTATCAATTCTGGTGATCAACCTTGATAAACTTTTCCAAACAAACAAGTTACCCCTTTAATGTCCACTTAATGGTCAACAGTTACTAGTCACTGATAAATAAATGTACAATAGATTCACTGGTCACGTATTAGTCGCTTGACAATTAGTTAATTAAAGTTTACCTTTTTGTCTTAAAATCAATTGTTTTAAGATCCGTTTTCGCAATCCAAATAAATGAATAGACGATCAACTTTAATTGTTACACCAATTATTGTATTGACTTTGTTTCCTTGCCATTCTGTTGTCCATCCAATTAATATTGACCATTGTGTCTCTCACCTCTTTAAAGTATCTTCCTTAATTGTAAATGGACACCAAAGATTATCATCATCATCATCATATTGACCATTATCATCCCTTTTAGAAACAAAGAAAGAGAAATGAAACAAAAAAAAAGGAGATGAAGATAAGAAAGAGAGAGAGAAATAAAAAACATCAAGTGATGGTCAGTTTGTTAACAATTGAGCCTTTTAATTGGTTGACCCAATGGTTTAATTACGGTTGACGGTGATCTCAATTGAGTTAAACATCATGTTGATCAAGTTTGTTATAATATATCAACAGGTATTAACCTTTTATACTTGACCATGATTGCAAAGGTAAATTATAATCATCATTGGATTATCAGATTAACTAATCAAGAAGGAAAAAAAAAAAACAAGTTGATTTAAATTCAACAATCAGATTGAACAGTTCAGGACAATCGGGACTATCATCGGTGTAAATCATCATCAAATAACAACAACAATCAAGGTGAAAGAGGTTGATTGTTGGTTAAATTGTTCAAAGGATCAACAGGATAATATACAAATAAATGTATTTACCTGATGAATTAGATTATTAGATGAAAGTGAAAGTTAATCAACAACAAACAATGAACGTGATGTAATATATTGTTCACGCTCTCGAACATGAACTTTTTTTTTATCGTTATTTGTTCAAAATTGTGAATCAAGATCAATTCTGATAATGATATTTAACTTTATATAAATCAAAGGGAATGATAATATTGACACTTTTATAATTAACTAATTTACTGGTAACAAATAAAACTGACCATCAAATGACCAGTTAAATTTACCTCTCATTTAACTGAAATTAAATCTCTTATTAATGTTTAATTGATCACAAGTAACAATAGATTAGTGTTGTTAACAATTTCACAATTAAAAATAATTTCATACAAAAGGTTAACTTTCACTTTGATTGTCATTATTAAATTGTGATGATTGGTTAAACAAGGGAAACAATTTAAATCATCCAGACAGTTAACTAACTGTTTGGAGTTTGATATGGTTTAATTGTTCAGGTTGAATTGATGTTAACAAAAATTGTAATTACAATTGAAATTCAATTTAGATTGACAGTTGATGGAAACATATTTTAAAAAAAGAGTAACAATCAACAAGAATTAGCAACAAGTGACCATTATCATCCTCATCATCACCACTAATCACTAATCATCGGGAAATTATGAGTTTTTGATTAAATGATGAGAAGCATGAAAAATGAAAAAAACTAAATCATCTCAAATGATTTAATAAATGTCCCAACAATTGGTCAATGTAATTGACCTTACAATCAACTAACGTTTATTAATATTAGTTCAACAATGGAAACCAATTTATCAGTTATTATTGTTATTCTTGACTGACCATCTCAACTGGACACAACTCAATTGTATCGATTGAAAGGTTGATAATCATCAGAATAATAATAATGATAATAATCATCATCAAGTTAATCATAACAATCTAATATCTTTTTCTTTAACATTCTAACGATACTAATAAATTGCATGTCCATCTTATTGATTGGGATGTTAATTGTTATAATAATAATACTAACCATTGGGAGATTCAAACCAATCAATTCAATGAATGTTATGAATATCTTAATCATCGTTATCACTATCATGGTTTAATCAGTTCAAATCAAGAATAGATTGATAACTGATCAACTTTTTTTTCTGTATAATAAGTAATCAGAATATCAACAATTCAAAGATTAGGATTAAATTGTTACTGTTGATTATTATGCTTCCAGTATTAAGTAGTTGGGAGAAGCTCTGAAATTAGAAAAGTTTAAGTAACAATTTATAATGAATATTATGAGAATAATAAAAATTCATGTCAATATATTATCGGTTATTATTACAATTGATGGATTGATTGTGTGTTGATTAGTTGTTGTTATTAGTTGCGATTGGATTAGAATCTTGTAAATCTCACTTACTTTTGGTAAAATCCACTGTAAACGGTAACATAATCAAAGATATATATTAACATGATTAACTGATTGTTAACCAAACCAAACCCTGAAAAATGAAAATGTTCATTTAACAGGTAAACATTTTGATGACCCAAATTTGCTGAGATTTGATTGAGGTTTTAAGCGTAACTTTTACACAGGATGGTAATGGTGATGCGAATTATAAATTGATGCTAAAAATGATAAACAATAACAAGACAATTAACAAACAAATTGCGATTATTTGATTTTTCATCTTTTCATTTGATCAAAAGTCAAAAAATACTCTTGTAATATTTAGATGGAATATAATTATAATCATCATCATCATCATCTTCATCTCCATCTTCTTCAGTTAAATGATGATGATGATGATGTTCAATTTTGATTACAATCAAACTCATTAAGATGAAGAAATCACTTGAGATTTTAATAGAAAACGTTGATCACAATATCCAATGAATGAGAGATCCTTTAATTTGTCTATTTTCCGCTTGCGATTTTCTAATCATATATTTTAATTGTTACCAACCTGTCAGAATTTAATTGTTGGTTAATAAAAGAAAATGAATTATCAGATTAACATGAAAGATAATGAATTGAATTTGAAGATATGGAAAAGTGAAAGTAAATAACTAACCTTGTATATGGATCATCAAGAGGTGACCATTATATTGAGATTTTCACAATTTCCATCAATACATTTAAGGTGGACCCTTATTTCAAATCATTTATTCATTTGTAACAATTGTTAAACCATCACCCGGGCTTCACCTGTCAATCAAAGAGAGAGAGAGAGAGAGAGAAATGAAATTTAAAATAAATCATTAATTTCATAATGTAAAAGCTATTTAATTATCTAACTTGTAATCTCATCTAAATACATTTAGCTTTTTTTTTTGTTCTCTATATCTGTTGGTCGGTATTCCCTATCCCTTATATTAGTTCAATAAGTTAAATCGATTGGGTGTATTAGAGAGATATCAAATATTAGATTTAGAGAATTAAAGTATTTAGTGAATTAACTATCTAAATTGATTGAGATCAATTTAAACAGTGATATTTGATTACAATCAAAAAAAAGCTAAACCTTATGTGTCAATTTCTTACCTTTAAGGTGTGGACATTGATCACTTTTAGAAGACAAATATTGACCATTTAGTATTGGTTATCGATTCGAGTTTATATTCCCAACAAAATTAACAATCAACAATTAGGAATAATACAGTAAAACAGTGGTAAAAAGGTTCACAATTAAAAGAAATTAATTAATAACAATTAACGGAACAAAAAAATCAGAAGATATTTAGATTTAGGGGTCGTTTCAAAAGTGAAGAATTAAAGTTAACCTTTGATAGAAGAACAATTTTCACTTTTTTAATTATCCCTTTTCGTTTGTTTTGAATCAAAAAAAACGTGTTTTTGTTTTAAGATTTAAATTGTGATTAAATTAATTGTTTATTATTGTTTTTTTAATTGCGATTTTGTTATCAACATGTGTAATTTAAACTAGTGATCATATTGATATGAAATGATAATAAAAAAAGGAAGAAAATTTTAGTGAAAAATACAATTGAAATCTCCTTGGAGGTTTGAGAATAAAATGACTAAAGAAACCTATCAAACCACGTTTGTTTTCAATGAATTCATTTTCTAATTATTGTTTTATTTTCTCATTTATCTTGCAGAATCATTGTTTCTTGAATTTGACTAACTTCTAAATCAATTTATTTGTTGTTAATTTGTAAATTATAAATGAAATTATTATTGTACAAAAACAAATGAGAATGTAATTACAATGTTTTTCACTTTTAATTATCCCTTTTCGTTTGTTTTGAATCAAATTGATTGTTTGGATTTTATTTTGATCACAGTTGATTAATAATTTGGAATTAATTTTGTTTATTGTTTTATTGTTTTCTTTTCTAAATTTGCGTTTAGTTTTCACTTGAGTTTAATTTCTTTCTGTTCTTTTTCTCTGGTTAAAGGTTTGGGGGCTGTTCGTGATTCCGATCGATTCACTGCTTTTTCTTTATTACCTTCGGCTGCTAATCGGTCAGTTTTCATTTGTCCAGAAAAATTTGGTTACTTTCCTGATAAACGTGATTGTACCAAATATTTTGTCTGTGTTTTTGGTGAACCTCTTCACGAAAGTTGTACGGGTGGACTTTACTTTTCCGCTGAACTGCAAACATGTGACTGGCCGAGAAATGTTCAATGTCCAAATGAGAAGAAAAATTATGAGAAATCGGTTTTCAGTACAGTTGATATTGGAACTGGTGATGATCCTTTTGATTATGATGTTCGTACCCCACCCAATCAAATTGGTAAATTAAATGATGACGATGATGATGACGATAGAGATTCTAAACCGAATGGAATCAATGCCAATTACAATAAAATTATAATCAAAACTCACAATTCATCAATCGTCCGACCCATTGAACATTATGTCGTGGACAAAGAGATTCCCGATTATACAATTGTTGATGAACAACCAATCAATTTAAATCCGAGCAACAACAACAACAACAACAGATCAACTGTTTCTCCATCACCTCAACCAACACCTTCACCTTTAACCCAGCCAATTTCCTCTTCGTTTCCCTCTCCTCTATCCGATGGCGGACGTAACAATATTGATTTCGAGATAAACTCTCAACCCAAGATTTCACTGAATCGTGATTCAACTCCGGGAATAGATTATCTGACCGATGGGTTACCTTTACCAAGTCCAACTCCAGTTTCTCGACCTTCAATAATTTACTCGGTTGATTTGAATGGTTCAACTCACCCTGAGAAATCACCAAGCGGTTCATCAGCTGAATCCTTGACTCGAGAAACTGAGATTCAATCCAATCGTTACCAAGAAAAACATGGAAATAAGATAAACCTTGAATTTGACCCTCAAGCACCAAATTATGCTGAGGCCATTCCTCCTGTCGTTGATAGTAAGGGTGGAATCCATTTCTCTGATGGAGTCGGTGGTACTTTCGGTATCGTTGATCAACTTCCAGGTCTTCTAAGTCCCAGTGTTTCGGATCACAGTGTAAATGTTTTCGTTAAACCATTGACAACTGATTCTGATAAAGGTAACTCACGATATCGGGAGTCACGTTTACTTAAGGATAATGTGGACTCTGGTTATGAATATATTCCAGTTATTGCTCCTGAAAAGTTCACACTTCGTAGTAATCCATTGTTTAAGCTCACCCATGGCCTTGGTGATAAAATGCTTCGTTCTCGAGGTCGATCAGCATCTAGACCAAATGAACAAGTTACAGGCAATTTACTTTCGGCTGTTGGATCACAAGTTAAACCCATGGATTCTGAGATTGATTTTAACATAAATGAAAATGTTACTCGAACCGCGGGAATTTCAGGAATAACAATAAATTCAAAAGAGGAACAATCTCATTCCAATAGAAATGAGAATGTTGAAAAAAATCGACCTGAGATTATGGGTCAACTACTTCGTAAAGAGGGTAACGAGGAATTTGTTCTTGTACCATTTGCTTTTGGTGATGGTCGACGTCGTAATCGTGGACGAGTTCGAGTTGTACCGAAAATTGTTTCCAAGAACAAATTGAATCAAGTTAAAATGATGAATAAAAATGGTAAAATGTTACCAGGATTCATTGAGGCCAAAACTGATGGATCGGTTATTGTCCGTGCCAAACCTATTATTGACCTACCAATCGAAATGAATAAATACTCTTCACCTTCACCTTCCATTTCCACTCCACCCGAGCAACAACTCAATTCACCTCATCGATTAGGAGACTCAGTTTACTCAGTTAAACCAACACCACCTCAACTGAGCTCCTTCCCGAATACTTTAATTCAACCATTGACTGTACCACCCTCGAATCAGGAAGTTAATTTAATGTCCTTGCCATTGACGAACACAAATTCAGCCGACAATTCAGCGATAAATGTTCAATGGAACAAAGGAAAAATTGAAATCACCGATTCTTATTCAAATGGTGAAAATTTCATCGCCTCTTTATTGTCAAATGACAAGAGGATTGTTAATCTTGATGGAAATCATTTAAATTCAAATAACGGACTGTCCGATGAAAGATTGACCTCACCTCCAATAAGAGACAATAATCATGATTCTGATGGATCAACTGTCAAAAGTACCACAACCAACGGTATCAGAACAACAACTTCCACCTCAACAACCACTTCCACAACCACAACGACAACGACAACACCTTCGCCCATTTCAATAGAGCCATTTGTTACCAATACTCCGTTTGTTGGTAAAATTATACGTACTTTAAGGCCACAAACCGTTTACTCTGAGCCAGTGAAAATAATGACTGAAAATTTATCATCTACTCGAAAACCAGATAAACAAATTGCTTCATACACAAGACCAAAAGTTGAAGATGAGCTTACATGGCCTGAAGATGGATTCTTACCAAACAAAGAGCCTTCAAATTCACTAACTAACGGGCGTCAACAATCAACACCAAGATCAACCCCGAAAAGTTACCCTGTAGACTCAACCTCGATACCAACACCTTACCAATCATCTATCTCTAGTACACCAACAACTACAACACCCTCTCCAAAATCTCATTCCGCTCCTTCTCCGTCACCAACATTTGCCTCTTCAATTTCAACCGATTCAGAGACAACATTCGGTCCTCGAACTCGTGGTCCAGTTACCCGAAAGCAAAGACCAACAAACAAACGTCTTGTTGTTAAACAACGAACTACAATAGCACCTATCCCACCATCTCGCCCTGCAAGTGTTTACCCAACACCCCAACCATTAACGTCAGCAACTAAATGTGATCCTCGAAAATGTCGTCTTCCTGATTGCAATTGCGGTGGACCTGCAATACCAGGTAAATCTTAATTAATTTCTCACAATTAATTCATAGACTGTGTAATTAATCTAATCATATTTTCCTTGAAAAATACTCTTAGGTGGACTAACTCTAGAAGAGACTCCGCAAATTGTATTATTAACCTTCGACGACGCGGTTAACGATTTAAATTGGGAATTGTACGAGGAAATCTTCAACAGCGGTCGCTTGAATCCAAATGGATGTCCAATCTTGGGGACCTTTTATACCTCCCACGAATGGACAGATTATGGTCAAGTTCAAACACTTTATTCAAGAGGTCACGAATTTGCTTCTCACACTGTAACGTGAGTACTAATCCATTGAAACCAGAATTGATTCATTTATGAGCACTTTTTCATTTCTCTTTTCAGTCATAGTTTCGGTGAAAAATTTTCTAAAAGCCAATGGCACAAAGAGGTCAATGGTCAACGGGAATTATTACATTTATACGGCGGTGTCCGTCTAGAAGATATAAGGGGAATGCGAGCGCCATTTTTACAGATCGGGGTAATCGCATGTTTGAAATGCTCCATGAAGATAATTTCACCTACGATTCATCGATGCCCGTCTTTGATAATCGACCTCCATTCTGGCCTTACACTTTGGACTATTCACTTAATCACGATTGTATGATTAGTCCATGTCCAACTAAATCATTTCCCGGTGTTTGGGAAGTTGGTAAGTCGATGTGAATTCAATTAACTAGATTATTTAATCAACTAAACAAATAGATTTACTCGTGCTTATTAATTGTTATTCTAGACTTTTTTTTATTGTGATTTATTAAACTGTCTAATCAGCTGATACATATAAAAATAATGGAAAGTTTAATTATAAACAAGTGAAAAGATGATTTAAATTACGATGAATCAAATTTAACTCACTGATGATACTCTCAATTAACAATTAACAATTAACAAATCATCACATTAGCACGCACTTTATCATCGTGACCTAATCAACTAATAACAACAATCAAAATTAATTTGCAACTAATTGCTAATTCAATCCGGACATTAAGCAACATTATCAACAATTAACTTTTTAAATTGAATAAAAATTTATTTTATTTTCTCAGACAAACAATCAAATTATCTTAAAACAAGTTAATTTGATTGTAGACCAATAAATTGACCTTTAAATTATTAACTATAGACACACATTAGTGTCATCACAATTAACCAATTTAAATGTAACAAGTTTCAAGTGATTAGTTTTAATTGTTGAGAATCTAATTATAGTAAATACAATGATATGAATATTTGTAATTAAACTGTAAACAAAAAAAAACTGCTGTTTAAATAATTCTTAATTGTTATTTTAATTTCTCGTATAATTAATGATTGTTTCTAATTCCTTTTTGTCTTTCTATATTTAAATTGCTTGCTAATTACAAATTGTGATTGAAATTTTCATCAAAAAATGATTCCCTATTTCAAGTCCAGCAATTAACTAATAATATTCAACAAGAAAAAAAAAATAATAGTTGCGACCTTAAATAAAATTGTTTGACAATTAATCTAAATTTAACTTGTTGTTGGTGATAATTAAAAGGATTTAATTTAGGTGAAAATACGAGTTAATTACTACAATTGTTACCATTTTATTAAGAACTAAAAACTTCTGACAATTTAATTTGTTGAGTAAAAATTAACATCCAATTAACTTTTAACTGGAGATTTGAATAACTACTTAATTAATTAATGTTTTCTTTAATTGTTGTACCACAGGAATGGTGATGTGGGAAGACCTCAAGGGCGGGAGATGCTCCATGGCGGATTCATGTTCCAATCCTTCAGACGAAGAGGGTGTTTATGAAATGCTATTGAAGAACTTCAATCGCCACTACAGCACAAATCGAGCTCCGTTTGGACTATTTTACCATTCGGCCTGGTTTAACACCAATCACCATCGAAGAGGATTCATGAAATTCATCGATACCATTTTATCCCATAAAAATGTTTACCTGTTAACCAATTGGCAGTTAATTGAATGGATCAGAAATCCAACTCCATTGTCAACAATTAAATCATTTCAACCTTGGTCATGTGATAATTTGACCTCCGAGAGACCTGGACCTTGTCACCATCCCAATGTTTGTAATGTCCGGTATCAAAGTGGAACCCGTTTCATGAAGACATGTCAACCCTGTCCAGATAGGTACCCCTGGGTGGGTGGAACCTCAAACAATTTAAATTAAACCATATAAATAGCTTGTTAATCATTTAATCAAATCCTTTGCCATCCTTAACCATCCTCATCTTCATCAAGTTTCAACCACCATTTTAAAAGTTATTTTTACCTTTACAATGATTATTATTCAATTGTTAAATACAAAGATAATAATTACAATTTTAAATTTTAAATTTTGAGTATAAATGATTAGTTGATTGTTTAATGATTAACTTTGATTATTTGATTGATTATTAATTGTTGGTGGTTCTTGATTGAATCAACTTTGAACTTTTCAGTTACTTAATATATATGTTTTTTTGTGTTTACAATATAGTAATTAATGATAAATTAAATTATTACAATGCTAATGTTTAGCTAACAATTAAATAACTTAATCAGAAATTAAGATTTTTCAAAGTTGAGATCAGTGATTTGATTGTAAACAGTAACTAAGATTGGAAAGTAATCAACAAGTTATCTTTTCGTTACTCAATTGGATTACTAAAGTCCATCATTTGATAAAAACGCTCAAACGAAGCCCCAACACTCCAACGCTTTCACAACAAAATTTTGATTCTTGGAAAGTCGGGTATTCCCAAAGGTCTGGCATGGATTTGAAGATCCATGGTAAAGATCACCATCCAGCCACAGGCCAAATCTCCCACTAGGAATAGAGAAAATTAAAATCAATTTTGATCCAAAATGATTGATAGATCATCGATAAACAATTGTAACAGTTAAAGTATCATAGAAATCGTTCAATTGTTTCCACTTACTCTCCAGCACCAAATGCAATACTTTCTGAATCTCCTTTGATAAAGTAAACGTTATCACCGGTCCACCTGAAGCATCTGAATTCAGGGTAAAAAGAAAAGAGAAAAGTTTCACCGGTCCCATAGAAATGGTCACTTGTCCGAAGTGAAGTGGAAGTTAGTGCTCCAAATGCCTGTCAATGGATTAGAAGAGTAAAAAAAGAGAGAGAAAACAATTAGCAATAATTAAGTGAATAAGTTGCATAGTCATGAGATATTAGTATAATAAGTAATGTCAGATAATAGGTTGAGAATTTAAGAGAATAAAAGTGATTAAATATTTCAATTAACTGAAATAATATAACATGAAATCGATTGATTAAGATAATTTATAAATTAAACAAATAAGAGATTATTTGAAAGTCATTTTGATTAAGTATCAAAATAGATCAGATTATAGAACATGAGTACTATTCGATATAAAGTTTGATCATAGGACAATTGAATATTAATAAAATGAATTGAAAATTAAGAATTTTATGCATTATTTACCATTTAAAACCATGACAAAATTAGAAAAAGGATTAAGAAAATACAAGTCAATGGAGTTTCCATGTTAACTCATTTCAATTCAATTTATTATTATTTTCGAAATTGTCCTAAATGATCAAACTTCAATATCCAATAGTCAACTCATGTTCAAACAATCTGATCTAGATTTTTAAAATCAGTACTATTAGATCAAATGATCGTTGAAAAACTCAAAATTGAAAAAAGACAATTGTATTATAAATATCAAAAATAATCAATCTAATGTTTCATAGTGATGATATAAATTTTGCCGCACTCAACAGATCTCGGTCTCAACAGTAAAGCACTATCTAAGCGACATTACTGTATTGAACTAATAATATTAGAAAGAATAAGCAAAAAGTTAGGTCTATGAGTCCCAATGAAAGGATTAGAAATTTATTAAGGGATTAAACATGCAACTACATCATTAGTAAATACCACCATCAGAATAATTATCTCTTCTTATTATTTAGCTGTTTATTACAATAACTGCTAACAGTGAACATAATTATCATTAAAAGTATCATGGAGATTGAATAATAAAATATCACATTTTTTTCATGTCTAAAAATGAAAATGGAAACCCATGTAAATCTATCAAGGTTTTTGTTTTTTTCTTTGGAAAAAAAAAACTTTTCCATTTGTAAATTGGCAAAAAAACCAACTATTTCATGAGATATCATTCATAATTGTCATAATCATTATATGACAATCAATATTGAAATAGAGATCAAATTAAATAACGATCAAGAAGATAACGGTAAATGGTATTGTCGACTTTGCTTTACAGCAAAAACTTCATCATTACAAGAGACTATGTTAAATATTGTAACTCTTAATGATGATGATGATGAAAATTGTAAAGAGAGTGAAAAAAACATTAAAAAAACAATCATCTGATTGCTCATGAGTAAACAAATGATGATAATGGTTCAGTTTCCTAAGCGATTTTTTGTTCTCATATGCTATTAATTTTGTTAATTAAACTCAGATTTCATTTAGCTTCCATGTTCATTGGTATCATCACAACCCTTACACCAGCATCATCAAAATTATATTCAGTAGAAAAAAAAACCGAAAAAAAAACCAGGGAACAGAAAAATCAAAGCAAAAAAAAAACAATAAACTTATGAAGATTAAGCATCAAATGAATCAGAAACTACTCAGATAATGATGAGAATGAAAAACAACAACAATTGAATAGCATTGAAACAATTAGATAATTGTTACTATTAGTGATATATATAAATACTATTACTATCTAATAAGAGATACTAACGATTACTTGATTATTTCAATATTGTTTTCAATCATCAGGGTTATCATGATCACTATTGAGCTGAACAATTTGAGGTAACTCAATTATAATCATAATAAGCGAGATGATAGAAACTCAAAATTGAAATGATAAAATCCAGATAAAGAGAGAGAGAGAGAGAGAGAGAGAGAGAGAGTTAAATTGTCAAATTATCAGAATTAACTGAAATGATTAAGGATGATGATGATACCATTTCTGTCAGGATTTTCTGGTTTAAATCAAAGTAAATAGATAATAATAATCATGTCAATGTCTGTAAATAATAACAATTGATCTTGATAATAAACTTTTAAATAGCCAATTTCTTACGAAAACATCAAAATTAGTTAATCAACTGTAAGTTAAATCATATACAACAATAATAATAATAATACACTGATGATTTTATATATCATCAATTAGAGTGAAAAATCAATCTTACAAATTGTCACAATTAACTTGATCTTGTCGTTGTTTTTTTCTTCATGTCAAATTAGGTCACATCTCTATAGTCAATGTTAACCAAAATAATCGTCAATCAACTTCACCATGATTACAATGATGATGATTATCAATTTTTAAATCAACAAAGATATTAAGTTGATTGTTGTCAATTTAGAAAGTTTTTCTTTGCCTTTTGATTGATGTTAAAAAGTTATTATTACATAGTTTTTTTGATTATTATGTTGACTTATTTGTCAAGGATTAAATCAAAGGTAAGCAATTAAAGAGTAATGATGATAACAATTGGATTAAAAGATATAATAAGCTAATGATTATCATTTTATTGTGAAGGTTGATATGATTAACCAGTAAGGGTTATAATTAATTAATGAACAAAAAGTTTTACCTTCTTTCAACAATAAAAGTCAATGAAATTGAGTATTAATTGTAAACATGAAATTACCTTTAAAATGAATCATTTTAAACAATTAGAGATGACACCGAGTATTAATCATCATCATCGCCATTACAATTACTAACAACAATATAACTGAATCATCAAGAATTGTTTCAATATTGAAATTTAGACAAACAAAAAAGTTATAAAAATTTAGATAATAATATAAGAAATTAATTTCCAATAGATATACACAAAGTAATAGTTAATTGTTGTTGATTGTTGACTCAAGTGCAATCAATCAATTGAATTTATCAAGACTAACCTAACATGTTTTACCATCAAACTAATAGTGTTGCATATTGATCAGAACACAGATGAACCTAATCTAATTGAATCAATCGTAATAATAATGGAGAAAAACAAATATCATCATGAAATTGAAATAAGCAAAATTCACCATTGATTCTGAGATATTAATAATAATTGTTAAGAGAGTTTGGTTTACACTCGGTGGGAAGAAAAAGTTTCAAATCGAAACTCGGAGAAAAAAAGAATAACAATTGAAATCTAATCAAGAGGATTAAATGTCTCAATTGATTGTAACACTCAAAAGGTATTACACCAGGTATGTTGTACAATATGATAGTAAATATATTATACAATCAACGAATTGGAAACAACATTAATTTTTTACCACTAACCAATCAATAGGTGAGTATTGATGAAGCAAAAATTAGCATCATCAGCAATGAGCATGTTGGATAAAAATGGTAATTGATAAACAAAGAGAACCCATTGAAAATTGTAACGTTAGTTTGTCCCTGGTTTTGTTGATTGTGTTCAATTTAATCCAGTTCTATCTACTTCGAGAATGGAACATACATTTTTCATCAACCTTTGTTGGGAATACAATTGAAATTGAAAGTAAATCATGTAGATTTATAAATAAACTCTCATCTCAAAGGGTAAAAAATAATAATAATCAGATATGATGGAGAAAAGAAAATCTTATCCTGAGAGATGTTGTTTACATTAAATATACATGAGGATAAAAGTTAAAAGGTTAAATTACTTGTGTTATTTACTCAAGGTTAAATTGGGTAATTAAACCATAGTAGTTAACTGAGTCTTCTACAGGTAACAAGGTACCAGTGGTAGAATAACAATTAACAAGCAACCCAAAAGAAAACAATCAGTGATAACAATTAACCGGATGCAGGTACAGTAGGTTTTTCATTGTTTTTCTATCAGCACAATTCATTTGTTTTCTCATCATGTATTTTATTCATGGTTGAAGCGATTAATGATTGACGTAATTGGTGTTGTTGTTGATTGTTGATTGTCTATTTTACAATATTTCAGAAAAATAATCAACGAGAAGAAAAATATTCAAACGATTAACAACACCTATCAAATTCAAGGGATAATTTTTTTTCCATTGGAAGGATATTGTAAGCTAATTGTTTGAATAATATTTGCTCTTCTTCATAAAAGGATAATAACAATAATCATCATCATGTTGTGACATGTAAGAAGCAAATTTGATAAGATACATACTGATCCGTCAGTGTCTTGGATAATCAACAGAACTGGATTATCGTAGTTGACCATATTACGATAAATGGTCTTCAAACTGAATCCATGTTTTAATGTTGAATATATTAAAGCCCATGAGTAGCCTTCGGTACGAGCGGGCAGATGACGTGCCAACTATAATATGGTAATAAGGAAGAAAATGAAGATGTAAGAATAAGAGAGAAAAACACTAAGAGACAGACAGAGAGAGAGAGAGAGAGAGAGAAAGAAAGAGAGAGAGAGAGAGAGAGATTATCGTCATTACCTCTTTTCTTCGATCTTCATTGAGAATCTCTGATTCTCCGATTAAATCAGGAAGAGGAAATTCAATAGGCTCTTTGATGGATATTCCTTTCTTGCACTGATCAATTTGCGAACACATATTTTAATACCAACGGAATGATGTTGATGTTTTATTTTATCACAACAGAAAAGCTTCTCTTCATCATCATATTAACTCACCAAACAGGAGAAGAAGATGAAACAAAATAAACAATCAATATTCTCATTCAACTCGAAAATCTCTAGATGTCACCAACAACTGATACAATGAATTCTAACACCGATAGATGGAGCCATCGATTAACGATTTAGGTTCAACTTTTCTCGCTCCAAATGAATTCTAATTTAATTAACTTTACCTGTGAATTTGAAATTGAATTTTATGTTCATCTTATCACAAAGATCAACTTGATGCCTAAATTATAACAGTTCAACAGATACTTCAGTTGATCTCGTTGCTCTTAAGCCCGAGACTTTTGCGTTGTAATAATTTTGACCATTTTTATTTTCCTAATGAGTTTTGGTAATTTGATTTTTTTTACACTTTAAAAGATCATACAGTTCATATTTTCATACAGTTGACCCAAAAGTAAGTTGAAAATTGCAATTGTTAATAACGGTTTAATTAAACTTCGTATTCACAATTAAATATTTGAATATAATCAACACAATTGATAGAAATAATTTTTAGCAGCTCAATCAATTTTAATGAAAAATTTTCCAGTCAAAATCGTAATTGCAGCGCATTTTTTGCGTCGATTGTACTAAGCGTTTTTTAACCTTAACGAACGTTTTTCCAAATATCTCGAGAACCAAAGGTTTTACATGTATGAGATTCTAGAAAACGATCCTTGAACATTTAAAGTAAAACAATTTTCTATCAAAATTTTATTACATATTCGAAGTAATTAAATAGAGAGAGGGAGGGAGAGAGAGTGAAAAATAGGTTCATTTCACTTCGATGTCCAAGGATCTGATCATTCGTTCGTGAGAGTTGAAAACGGCGGGTATGATCTATCTTTCGTTCTTGGCTGATTTGTACAATTTAATTTCCTCTTTTTGTCTTTATCATTTAATTTTCAATTGTAAGGTAAGAAGGGATTTCGATTTAGTTTGGTTGATTAAATTTTCCATTCTTATGTTGGTTTTATGTTGTATGTTTCAAGAATCGTTGCTGGTAATTGTGTTGGACCTCCGCTTAGTGGATCTTTACCGGTGAATGATTTGGGGAAAGCGATTACATCTCGTATGGAATTTGCGTTACAAATTATTCGTATTAATCTGTCCAGCCCTAAGGCTATTCCACCATGAGGTGGAGCACCAGAGTTCAAAGCATCCAAGAAAAATTGTAATGATTTATAATCTACTTTGAGAATTTGTTTAAATATAAATTCTTGTATATTGGCATCATGGATTCTCATTGATCCACCACCAACTTCTTCACCGTTAAGAACAAGGTCAAATTGATCACCGATCACCTCCAATGGATTGGAATAGAGTTTATCTAATTGATCGGGTTTAGGTGATGAAAATGGATGATGACTACTTTCAATTGTCATTTTGTTTTCCGATTCAACGAAAAGTGGAAAATCAGTTATCCAAATAAATGAATTATCTTGAACATTGGCAATTCCATTAGCTGATATACATTTTATACAAGAATTTCGAAATTTTCCCATGTAACGTCGCTAAAATGGCGAAACAGTTAAAAAAAACAAAGAAACAAATCAAATTAATCTTCTAAATTATCGAGGAAACAGAAGTAAAAAAAGATCAATAATATCAAGTTACGAACAATTTCATTAGGATCTCCATAAGTGATGAAAAGATAATCTCCTTTGTTTAATTTCAATTGTTGAGAAATATAAAGTTTGGTTGATTGATCAATACTAAACGAATCGTTTTCTTTGTCCATTGTCCAGTTACCATCTAAATCATCAATAAATAGTCCAATGACATTGCCCTTGAACGATAAATCATTTGCCGTTGTCACCATTTCTTGGTAAAGTTTTTCCTTCAAATTTTCCTAGAGAAAAAGATAATTTAAATCCAATTAGAGTTAATCAATCTTAAAAGTTAATATAACTTACATCACTTCCACCAGGAATTGCAAGACCCAAAGTTGATGATTTAGTAATTGCTCTCAATGGACTACTGAGATCATGCAACTAAATTAAAAAAGAGAAAAATATTTTTTTAAACTCGATTGAATTGTTGATCCTATGGACAAACCTCAATGTCACTTCTAAGATCGGGTTTATCTGAACCATATTTGGCCAGAGCTTCTTGATAGGTTATTCGAGGGAAAGGAATCGACAATGAGCCGGCAAACGAAGGCCAAATAGCGACAAGAAGAGTTTCAATCAGATCAATTATTCCATCGGCTGTTGTAAAAGACATTTCAACATCTACCTTTATAAACGAAAGGGAAAAAATAGAAACATGATCTAAACGATTGTTAATCATAAGATTTAATTGTTTACCTGTGAAAACTCGGGTTGACGATCGGGCCTAGAGACTTCATCTCGAAAACATCGAGCGATTTGAAAATATCGATCCAAACCTCCGACCATCAACAATTGTTTGAATATCTGTGGACTTTGAGCTAAACAATAATATTGATTTGGATCTCTGGTTGGTACGATAAACTCATGAGCACCCTGAGGTTGAATGAAAGAATTGGAATTACAATTAGATTACAATTAAGTGAACGATTTAACAGTGTTAATTAAACAGTAATTGTTACTCACTCCGGGCGTATGTTTCTGGATAATCGGAGTTTCTATCTCGATAAAACCTTCTTGGTGGAAAAAGTTTCTTATATTGTTCATTAGTTGACTTTTCAATCGTAGATTAGAACTGAGATCTTTTGTTCGTAGGTCAATGTATCGGTACTTTAATCGATCCGATTCTTTGACAATAGTTGTGTGTGTTGTTTTCTTGTTAATCACTTCAAGTTGCTCAATTTTCACCTCAATGGCTCCTGTTTTCATCTTTTCATTTACTTGACCAGTTGGACGTTTGGAGACGATTCCTTCAGCCTTTACCACCGATCCAATGGTTGGCTCTTTAACTTTTGAATCAGGATTTTTTATTATCAACTGGACATCACCATAAGCATCATTTATGACCAGAAAAAGTGCCGATCCATGAGTTCGTACATGTTTAACCCAACCATAAAGTGTAACCTTTTTACCAACATCGTTAATCTTAAGGTCACTACAATTATGTTGACGACAAGTGAACCGATTAACAGCCGATAATCCCCAATTATTTCTGATAAAAGGTAAGTTAAACGATCGACCACCAATCAAATTACCCAAAAGGTAAAACTTGTGATTAAATTTAATCATAATTAGCAGAGAAAAAAAAAATTAAGATCAAAGAAAAGTCAAAGTAAAACTAAAGAAATCAAAACAAAAACAGAAATAGAGAAAATTATGAGAAAAGAAAACAAAAAGAAACAATGAACACAATCAATAAATATACAAAATAGAAGAAGAGACAATTTAATTACTACATTGATGGTTAATCAAAATTAAAAAATTGGAACACAATTAAGGTGATAAACACAATTAGGGAAAACTTTCAGAAATCAACATAACCACATGAGAATTAAAATTTCTCGATCAGCTGATTGACTTTTTCTCGTTCACCGATAGATGGCAGCAGGAGCTCCACGAATATTTTGTTAGCCTAAATTTTCAATTTCCAGTGAGTTAATTGTTCCCAACTTTTACAATAGATAATTATGATTGTAAATAAAAAAAATTAATGACAATTTATTAGCGATGAATTAATAGAAATTGCAATTGAATCAGATCTAAAGGAGATGAAGTGATTTACATGTAATATCAAAATGAAAATGAGAATTGCCTTGAGAGAGAGAGAGAGAGAGAGGAAGAGAGGTTGATAATAATAAAAGAGAGACAATTAAGTTAATTGTTGGATTTTTTTGTTCTTTTTCCAATTAGACGATGTGGAAAGCAAGGGTTCGATTTTTGGGTAAACTGTCCAAAAGTTGAGATTCGGTGTCAATATTAACTTCTTGCCATGAGAAATTTTCACGTGGAGTTGATTGTTCCATTGGTAGCTGAATAATTAATTGATAGAGAAAAAAAAGAGATGAAAGGTTGACAATTAAATTTAATTATTAATAGTTAAATTCAAGAATTAACTTACAACACAAGAGACAAGAAGAGTCAAGCACAGGCCATCTTTTTCCGTTAAAGGGAAACCACTATGTTCAATGGACAAGATTCCGTGTGGACGATGAAGTGGTGCTTGATTGTTGAATATATACTGTGATTAATTTAGAAGATAAATGAAAGACAATTAGCAAATATCCAGAGTAAGAAAACTTCTCTCTCAAATCACCTGAACGAATCGCTTAAGTGTTGCATGGACACTTCGAAGAGGATTAATTTCGCAAACAGGTAAATGGTTACCATCTTTATCCCCAACGAGAACGTGCAATCGATTACTGAGATAAATTGTGATTTCGAAGAAGAAGAAAAAAAATAAGATGAAATAGATTAGTTTTGATCGAATCAGCTTGGAATTATATTATCGTAATCTTGATCATTTACAATGAGTGGAAATACTATCATGTGCTAATTAGGAATCAGAACTTACAGAGATGAAGAAAAGGGAGGATTAAAAATGGAAAAGAGCCAAAAGAAAGAGATGAAGATGAGGATGGAGATTAAAACTAATACTGATATTCAAGAGGAAGAAAAATAGAGATGCTAATAAATCTGATAATCTGTTTGAAAGATATCATGAAATGTATAAAAGTCCGGAAATAAACATGAATGTCGTTTGTTTGTTGATAATAAACTGATGAAAGTTGAATGAGATTCATTGAAATCATTGATAAAGATGAACAAAAAAAAGAGATTAAGATAATTCAAGTTACATTACTACAACTCTATCTCCAAGTATCATCATGATAATGAATCAACAATCAACATGGGAAGATAATATCAATATATAAAAGTGATTTCTTTTCATGAGTATCTCTCCCTCACTCTTCATCCCATCATCAATTCCTGAAAACTATTCAATTCAATTTACATCTTCCTCATCATCATCTCCATCTCTCATCATTATTAATACTACACAATGAAACCTTTCAATTTATCGCAATAACCTGAGCCCTGGACACTGACCAATCTTTTATAAACAAACTTTGACCCTTCAATTTGATTTAACAATTTGCTAACAAGCAAAAGATAACCTCAATCTGAACACCCAAGAAAAAATAATAAACTACCAAAGAAAAGATGAAGTGAAAATGATGTTGATTATGTGATGATTATCAGCACAATTGATGACCATTGGTCAACGAACTTGAAAGTCAAAAAGAACGAAAAAAAAATGAAATGTTAACTCGGAATCTCCATGTAAGCAAAAACTTGAATCTCGCCTTGACACTCAGATAATCAATGGATCCCCATTGATAACTTCCTATGGGGTTTTTTTTATCAATCCAAATACTACAAGAAAACAAAAATATTTCTCAATAGGTTTTCCCTTTGACCTGTGTACCTACAAATCAATGCTACAAATGATAAATTGAAAAATAAAATCCCTTAAGGTCAAATGAAAGGGGCTACTTTCCCTTGGATGGGTCAACATAATGAAAACATAAATATTCAAATATCAAAAGATCACAATGAAAGTTATTCAAATGGTGAACCTTTTGCTTGACCAAAGGGATGACCATTAATGAATGGGAATTTTGTCTCTCATGAGAAGTGACAGTAAATGATGAGGATGCTAAAGATGGTGATGATAAATATTATCATGTAAATTTACAAACCATTTGATTTTCAATTGTTATCATTGTTTCATTTTAGTTCAATATTTACATTTCCATTTTGTTATATTATCTCGCCCACTTTTCTCATCATCACAATGGTCATCCTATTCTGAACACTGACCATTGGTCTCTCTCTCACAGAGGCTTATTATTATCACCCATACGTATCCTTATCTATCAAAAACTGACCCCTGTCTATATAATAAATATATGCCTAATCCAAGATGACCATTCATATTATAATGTAACCGTTGACTTGTTAACTACAATTTAATGGAATCAGTTGATTATAAGATGATCTAATTATCATCAATACTGACCAATTGATGTCCATTTATCATTATCATCACCTTTCCAATCAACACAAATCTCTTGTAAATGTTTATCAATGACAAAAAAGCAATCAAATTAATTTCCATTGTCACACTTTTTCCTGGTGATTTAAAAATCCAACCAAAAAAAAAGGATTAGCAACTAAAGGATTAACCCGTTTAAAGTGTGATATTGATCATCATGTTAACCATCAACAATTTACAAATTGTAAATGATTTAAATGAAGCTCAGGTGAAGTGGAAACATTTTCAACAATCAATGAAACTTTTTTGTTGTTGCTTGGCTTCATACTAATCAAGTTAATCTTACACATTGGATTACAAGGTGTGCAGGGATTAAGGTTAATCAAGCAAAAGAAAAGGATTTACAAGGAATATAATTTAATTGAGATCGAAAAAAAAAATAATGAGAATAATGAAATCTTCCAGTTAACTGACCATCATGTTTATCAGCTGGACATTAGTTGTACTTTTTTGATGATTGGTCATTTTCAATGTCCAAGCTTAAAAAAAGGGTTCAAATGAACATCGGATCAATTTAATTACATGTTAATTTAATTCACAAAGATTCATAATTTAAAATGAGTAAAATAATCAAGTTAATCCAAATGTAAATCAATTTAAATTAAGACCAACAATCAATTAATTGTAATAACAGTAAACTAATTATATGAGATGAAATGAATTTACAAATCTAATTAAAAAGCAATTGCAATCATAATCAAAGTTATAATAAGATATCAAGTTTATCAGAGTGCAAACAGTTAATTGAATAAAGATTTTAATTATTAATCAATTGCTTTATTGTAATTAGATTGTATTTTAATTATACTTTTAATTGGCTCAATTCCTTAGGGGAAACAAAGTGATTAAAACTGTTGCAATTTAGTTTTCTTGATGATATTACATTTGATTGTGTTGAGAAAATACTAAAAAATCAACATTATTAAGATTAGATTAGCTTACTGACCAATGGTCAGTGTTTAATTTTATATATATGATGAAGGTTAATATTTTTTTATTCATCATAATCAATTTTAATTTATGCTGATTGTTGAATCTCAAGGGAAATACATTATTATTAAGATGATTGTACAAATATGTCAATTACTGTAAGACTGATGGTCAAGCTGATTTAGCTTTGTTAATTTGGTCAAACAATCAATCTTGACCAATGTTTGTACATAGATTACATCATCATCATCTCAGGTCCAATCTTTGGTCATTCATTTAAAAGTTTTACAAGTGTCAACGTCTTCCAATCAGTTTATCTGATCATAATTATTGAAACAACAACTGAAATCATCATAATGTCCAAATAAAAAACCACTGACCACAGGTAATAATGATAATGAGGATGATGAGGAAACCATGCAGAGAGAGAGAGAGAGAGAGAGAGAGAGAGATGACCATCTTCATCTTTTCTTCTTCATCATCATTATCATTGTTTGAATTTTTGTCTCTTCATCTTTGTTTTTCTTACCTTTTCAAGTCACATTGATAAAGATAAATAGAAACTCAATCAAAGTGACCATGGGTCAACTGACCAAAATTATCCATGGTCATCAATCTTGTTTCTAACCTCCCCAACCAAACACACACAATATTGACCAGGTAAATGGTCAACTAATATGATAATTATCTCTATTATTAATGGTTTAATCACTTTGTTTGTTTCAATCCTAATCTGCTGTTCCCTTGATAATAATCAGCAATTTAAATTACTGATCAAGTTAAATAATCTCAACCAACACTTGATTAATGAGAAACTGTAAACAAATATCAAGGTGACATTTAGATTTAAAAAAAGAAACAAAATTTGATTATGATCAGTAAATTGCTTATAAATAAATTGTCGATAGAGAAGAGAAATTTACAATTAAAACGGAACAACAATTAATTTCAATTGTTTCATTTTGAAGTTTGTTCGTAAGTTGAGCTTTTATTCAATAGATGTCGCCATAGGCATCGAACATGAGAAAAGTTTGAAAAAAAAGTTCTAACAATTTAGATAATTGTTAATCGTCATTTACTTGGTTAAAATTGATTATTACAGTTTAAAGGAAAACTGTTCTAATTACTTTTCATCGTCAGAACTTTTGATTTGTTATGGAACAATTTAGAAAGTTAATTACAATAATCAACAAAGTTTAGATTGAAATTATAGCTCTTGTATAATTATGAGGTAAAAGTGAATTAAAACTGATTGTCAAAGTTGATTATAGCTGATCAATGATAATTTAGATAAAGAGTGATCACTTAATCAATGATCAGAAAAAAAAACAAAAGGTAAAACCTGATGGTCAATCAATTGATGGGTCAATAGTTGAAGGTGATAATAATAGTGTTTAGTTTAATTTAATAGCAAAAGAAACAGGAAAATATTAACAATAATTTAAATCAACAAGTTCTGATGATAATCAATTATTAGTGATAAACATTATCATTAAAACTGGTCAGCAAACATTTGAAGTAATAATTGTAGACTAGTGGACAGAGGGAAACTCCAAAAACTATCAACTGGACATTGAAAAATATTCAATTTAGAGGTCATAAGGTTAGTGGAAGAAATCAAAGTGACCTTTGGAAAAAAGAGAAAAAAAATTTTATCAAAAAAAAACTAATCTTTTCTTGACCATTCATATCCTTCATTGGATAAAGATTAAGATGAAGATGAGGATAAAAAAAGGATGATTGTTGTGGTAAAACATCAAGATAAATGGTTGATTAAGTTTGCAAATTGAATTGAAAAGTTTCTCAAAGATTACTGACCAAAAGGAAGTGGATGGACAATGGATTAAGATGATAATCATCTTTAAAAAATTGAAACAAATGCATTTTTAATATAATAATGATGAAGAAAATGTTATTAGATTAACATTGGTTAAAGTTTTCTTATTATTATTATTTTTTTGTTTATCCGAGAGTTAAGATAAACTCTTAGCCGGTTCAATGGTCATCACATTGACCATGAAATGAAGATGGCAAAAAATTTAATGGACAGAAGATGAAAGGATGACCATGAAGAGAAAGAAACTGATGACAATAGAATGAGGAGAGAACTGGATTGTGGTGAAAGGGGTATGAATGAGTTATGGTGGTCAAGAGAAGAGAGAGAGAGATGAGGTCAAAGGTAAATAATGAGAAGAATAATTTCTTATTTAGCTTTATCGAATAGAAATGGACACAATGGACACAACAGGTAATATACAGGAAGAAGTGAAAAGAAAGAAAGACTGAAGACTGAAGATTTACCAAGAAGCTGTAAAAGTCTATGGTCAGTATTTATTGTGAAGGGAGACTAACAACAAGTCACGGTCAAGTGATTTATCATTTTTATAAAGATGATGAAGAAAATGAGAGGGAGGAGAAGGTGAAAGGAAGATGTGTAGCTAAAAAAACTTTAGAGAAGAGGTCAATAGATGGTAAGGATAAAGTGACCTCTTTTCCTTAGGGTAAAATGTTGAGTCCATCACAGGAGAGAGAAGAAAATTTTCTCCAAATTTGACTATTTCAATTGCTCTGTGATGACGATTAACTATTGCACCTTTTTTTTGTTCCTTCTCTCAATTGATGGACATTTTTCTTGCGCTTGACCATCTTAGCATTTGTTCAACATTCACCATTTCATCAATGCTTTTCACAGAGTGAGAGAGAGAGAGAGAGAGAGAGAGAGAGAGAGAGAGAGAGAGCTGAAAGATGAAGAAAATTAAGAAATTACTTTGAATGCAGATTCATCATCATCACCATCAGGGGGCAAGATTATTAGGGCAATACCATTGAATTGGTTGGGAGGAGGAACGACCATTGGAGAGGTAAGAGGAGGATCCAAAGTGAATCAAAAGACCGCATCAATAAAGAAAGAGAGAAAGAAAGAGTAAAAGAGAGGCCAATGGTAAGTTCTGGGTGGTCAGCACAATAATAGCCGATGTAATATATTTTTCAACGAGAATTAGTTCAAACTTTTACTGCGAGGGTTTTATTGTTATTAGTAATAATCTAAAGGTAAAACCATTTAAAGGGGAGTTGAATGGGGTTGGTCAGTTGGGAGGTTGGTGAGGTAAAGGAGACGGACAAGGATCACCAAGGAAAGAGGCCTAAGGGGAAACTTTATAATATTCATATCCGAAAATATATTACAAACTTTATAAGAAGTGAAGATAAAATGTATCAATGGGAGAGAGAGAAAAAAAAATTCAACAATAAGAAGATAGAAAAAAAAAGAATAATAAGAAAAATGAAATAGAACATTTTTTTTTCTCCCTTCGATTAGATTTGGATATATCTTATTATCTAATAGATATGGATTAATAATAATCTATATACAATTGTGATCGGTAAATTTTGGCCTTTCACTTTTTCTTCAAATGTTTACCTAAGGACCGAAAGTTTAAAGCCAATCAATTGCCCAGTCCTTGTAACTTTCGTATTTTAATATATTCTGACCTGGTGATAGTTATCGAGATGTTGATAAATAGGGAAATGACCATGGATAAGATTAACTCGTCTCTAGATTAAGGCTTAAACAGATGAAGAGAGTAGATTAAGGGAGTAACTAAAATAAGATATATGACTTTGAGCACGGAGATACATCGACCCATAGGCTTGAGATATTTAAAGGTAGTGACACAAATAAAGTGCCGAGAGGAAAAGCATTTACAGTAGGTTACTCATAGACAATGAGTTAGCCTTTTCAATTGCAAGAGGATATCATTTGGATAAAAGGAGCGCAAAGATAACATTGATCTGCCGATGAGATAATCCCTTTAAGTATTATATCAGATTAACTAGAAGATAAGCAAAGAGAGAGAGAGAGAGAGAGAGAGAGAGAAAGTTTTGTAAGAGAGTAGAAGATGAAGATAAGGATTGAGATACAATGATGATTGATTGACCAATCGAGAGAGAAAGAGAGAAGAAAAAAAAAGTCACATAAATGATGAGGATCATCATCATTACGAAAATACAATTGCCTTTGAATGTGTCATCTTATTACCATTGGTGATAAAATTAATATTGTCACATGAATAATATATTCAGGAAGAAATGTAATTGAAACTTGAGATATTGACTCGAGTTTATAATATACAAAAGGTATTCACATGTACTAATAATCAATAGTATTATTGATAATATCTCTCATTGTATGAATACCTTTGGGAAATTTTAAACGGGTTGATTGAATGGCAGTTATGATAATGATAATACCTTAATCATGTGTAAAGTCCCAATTCTGTTTAAGTCAATGTTGGTAAATTATCCTAAATCACATGAGATTTTCACACTGATTGTTGTGTATTATTAACTAATAACAAATAGCATTTTGTTTAATAGATGAACAGAAAATGATAATAAATAATAACACCGATGGACATTGATCATCAATGATTATTAATATGATAACATGAAAAAAAGTCAATAAATCTTAACCAAATAATTGTCATTTACAATTAATAACAATTTGATTAATCTTTTTTTACTGTTTATCATAAATTTCATTGGTAAATTTTGCAATTACCAACCAAGAAGTGAAAGTTTTGTTTTGTTTACTTGATTGTCAAATAATTTAGAGTTTGCATATAAATTATATCACAATTATTAGAAAGAATTAGATTAATATTGATGATTAAGACTTACTTGGCCTTCTTTTTGATTATCATGATGAGACGAAGTAAAATTTTATCATGACTCTGAATAACAGGTAAGATTGATCGATGCCAGGAAAGTTTTTCTCTCCAATAAGTTCGAGCTCGATCAATAATGGGCAATATATCACGACATCGTAAAGACAATTGATTAATATCACTAATCCATGAAGCCTGAAGTGATTCTGAATCAGCAAGTGAAACCGTTTTCAATTGACCACCAACAATAATACCAGTGAATACAAATCGATACCAATTACCTTTCGCATTCTCAACCAAGATTAACGTTAATGGATCAAATTGTAGTCCCGTTTCCTCTGTGACCTCACGACGAACCGCATCAACCAAATTCTCCCCTGGTTCAACTCTACCTGCAGGTAAATACCAAGTTCCAGCACATTCACTTTTAGCTTCTTGCATCATGAGAAGTTCATCTTTCTCATTGAATATAACCGCAGTTACGATGTAAAATATACTCTGTTTACAGATTGGTGTAAATTTACATGTTGAACTTTCAATTCCTTTGGTTGCTAAAAATATAATAATAAAGAAGAAGAAGAAAGAAAAATAAATAAATAAATAGAATATCAAATTAAGGAGTGTTACTTATATTCATTTAAAGATGAACATGCTAATCAGCTGATCTAAATTCCTAATTTCCTGATATAAACATTAATATTTCTGTTTACCTACAGAAATATAAGTATTGTAATAAATTAGACATTCAAATGAGCTTCATGTTAGATGTTGATTTATTTACTTGTTTACAATTAACAGTAAATGATTATTACCATCATGAGGATGATAATGATAAGTATCAAGATGAATATATCATTATGATAATCACTGTAAAAGTGATTAGTAAATTATCATCTATATCTATCTATTGATTATGAGCTCAAATCCTTAATATCTGATTTAATATGTGATTCATGATGATTTTCATTGTAAATCAATTGGATTAGAAAAAAAAAATTTTCCCTTCACCAAACTGAAGATACAACAACATTGTAATTTGTTGCAATTGAAAAAAAGCATTGATACAAATCACTCATTTGCATATATGATTAAAGTGTCTGAGAAATTAATTGTAATTAGTGACAGTGAAATGCAAATGAAATTAATTGCAAATTCAAAATAATAACAAGGATGCTAATGATTATCTTAATATAATATTCAATGGAAAGGATGAAAAATATATATTTCTCATCATTAGCTTAGCATCATTGAACCTTTTATTGTGAAGGATGATCAATTAAAATGAATCAATGATAAGCTCAACAAGTAAATACAAATGAGAATGATAATCAATTTGATTGCAATTAACGTGATTAACTGTTGTATCATTACCATTAACAGACAAAAAGTTATAATGAAATAATGGTAACAATTAAATTGTTACAAACTGATGAGTTTTAACATAATATGAAATAACTATATTGATTTAATTGTTTTTGCCTTGATTGTTACAAATTTTACTAACTAATTATAATTTTTTTTGCAACAAATTAATTTAATTTGAAGATGATGATATATAATCATTGAGAGATTGAGATATGAATTTAGTATCATCAAGAATTATTTGATTATCATGATGATTGGGTTTTTAGAGTGAAAATTATTGATGATAATGATGATGGTGATGGTGATGGGGTGTAAGAGGAAGGAGATGAAAGGATGAAGATGCTAAGTGAATTGGTGAAAATGGATGAGCAATAGAAAAGAGATACAGATTATGGTGATGATCAATTGATGAGGAAGATGATGATATTATAGAGAGAAAGAGAAGATGAAGAAAAAGAAAAAGAGATGAAGTTAAAATACATTTCAATGTGAATATTATTTTCAATCATCATGATCATTAGCAAGTATCATCATCATCATCATGGTGATAACCTTGAATACAAATTGGAAAAGAAGAGAGAAAAAAATATTCTCAGTATCTTCCGGAAGATGAATATTGAAGATGAGTGTTTCCATTATGTGAACATCGTAATCATCAAAAAAGTAAATCAATCTCTCAGCTGAAAAATAATATTATCAGAGAGAGAGAGAGAGAGAGATTGGAAATAGGAGGATGCAGATGAAAATTACAAATCGAGATAATCTTGAGATGATCTGAGAAGATGAGAGAGAGAGAGAGGAATCAATTTGGATAAACAAAATTGTGAGACTGATGTTTCTCAATCTCTGATATGAGAAACGATAATGATCTGGAACTCACAGTGATGATCATTGAGACTACATGAGGTTAGATTAATGAAAATGATTCTGGACTCCCTTTGGTTTAAACTAAAAAAGAAAAGGTAAAAATGACCAACACATACTTAATTCACATACAGCGAGAGAGTGACCAGTCTAGATAAAGTGTGTTGACCATTGGGGGATCATTAGGAATTGAGATTATTTTTTATTTACTACCAAAATTTTGGGTAAACATTTTGTTTATTTGTAAACAAGTTTGCAAACATAGAGAGACACACACACAAAATACCAATGGTCAAGCAAAAAGTAAATCAAAACGGTCAAGGCTTTTTTTAAATGGTCACTTTTTCATCATCATCAATGACAACAACATTACGACTGTGTGTTAATTGCAATTTGTTTGATTGTTGATTTGAAAATACAAAATAAAAATAGGTTATTATTGCGATAAGATTTAGGAAAATGTTTGTAAATTTAAATGGTTTTAACTTTCAACTGACCAACAACAACAAACTAATGACCATTAGCTTGACCAGTGCATCTGTTTAAACCATTTGTTTATACGGTGAGATTGAATAAACTACTGTCCAGGTAGATAGAAATTGTCTCTCCACAATCAAAGGAGATAAATGAATCGAGTTAATCAACAGGTATTATCAAGATTTATCTTAATTGTTGGGAACCAGAAAAAGTAAAGGATAATCACAAACTCACCTTTCAATTCAATGGCCTGATCTTTGAGTGAGAAATGACAGACATCCTTAATCTCAGGTAAAGATTTACCAGAGATAATCCTCTTTATATAATTTTCCAGGGTCGATGTACCCATATCCATGTTGATATCCATTGATATGAAAATAAAATTACCAGAAAACCAAAATAAAACCAGAAAATCCGAAACAAAAAACCAAATCAAAATTTGAAACCAACGATTTTGTTGATTTGTTAACGTTTACAAATCTCAACGTTGAGAAAACAAATTTAACAACAACACAAAATAGGTAAAGATGAACACTTATCGATCAATGTAACTAAATTGTTAAGGATTTAACAGGTTAATTAAAATCTAATTAAAAGTTGTTAACTTTAATTGTTTACTTTTATTATTTTTGTCAAAATTTTTGTAAAATCAAAATTATTGATCAGCTGATGAATGAATTAAACTAATGACACCTGGTGGTGTAAAGGGTAACATGTTACATAAGTTTTTCTTTCATTAAAATGATTTAAATTGTTTTGTCACAATCAGTTAATCATTGGTGTGAGAAGACAATTATCAAACTAATTATACTTGATAATTATCAATTGACAATAAGCGTTATCAATTTGATTTGTTGGATTGATAATCAATATGCTTTTTGTTTGCTGTCAAAGTGACAATTGTAATTGATGAACCATTGAACAATTGATTGGAACAATTTAGTTAATTATACATAACTAATCAGTTGGTTATATATATATTCAATTGATTTGAATTCTGATCAAGTAAATTAACTTTTTCAAGTTTTCGTGTTCAATGTTTCATTGCTGTTGTCCCATTTAAAGGATGCGGATGATGATAAAGTGATTGACTGATATTGTTGATCATTTGAAAAACAGAATCAAACTTATTATATTTCATGTGTCCAGTGTATTGGTCATTCTTGTTTCATCAACAGTAAAAAGAAGCTAAATAATGTCAATAAGTTGACCAATTGGTTGTAAAAAAGTTGTAAAGACAGTAAAAAATGATACAAACTGACCATTATGTCCATCTCCTCATAGTAATATCAGTTAACAAGGTGAACAAGAAAAACAAAACAATTCAAAACAATTGGAATAATTTTCAATCAATCAATGATAGATAATTGAACAATTCAACTAATCAAAATGATGAGAGATAATATAAAAACATTATAACCAATCAATTAATCAAAAAGACAATCAGTTCAACTGGATCAAGCTCAGACAATAAAATTCAATTGTAATAATCAGGGAAAAGAAAGTGAATTTATCTCAAGATTTATGAAACAATTTACTAATTTTCCAATAGATAATAACATTTATCCATCATATAATATAATAGTTGAAGACAATATGAAAAGGAAAACAATAATTTATAAATCGTAAAGTAAATTGTTTGGAAGTTTGTAAATCTTGATAAGTTATATTTTCTCGTTTAAATTCAGTAACATGATGATCATGAAGATTCAGGGTGTAATCTAGACAAGGGAAAACTACAAAATGACCATCAACAAGACTGATAACCTTTTAAAACTGACCCAGTCCATTAAAGTGTGAAAATAACATTTCAAGTTACATTGGTTTTCCTTTCATTTTCTTAAAAGCCAATTTCACTTTTCTCATCATCTTCATCTTCATCTTCATCTTCATCTTCCTTGCTCCTTAAACCCATTTTCAAGCCATTGACCTGGTTTACCAGAGGAGGAGGAGGAGGAGAGGGTAAGGTACAGGGTGGAGTAGAGGGATAAACTTAATGGTGAGAGTGGGAAATTTGCGAGGAGGAGGAAATTGATTTACCCACAGAGACAAGAGGATAAACTTTTTTTTTAATCTCATAATATTTTCCTTGTTTTCAAATATCATATAATTGCAATTGGTGATAATTTATTGATTGTTATAATAAATTATTTCCAATGGCAATATTATCTCGTGTGTAATTAATACTAGACTGATTTAATTGTTACCAAATCAACAGTAAATTGCTGATGATATAAAAAAACAAAAACCAAACCAAACAAAACAAAACAAAAATGATCAACAACATGATAAAACTTGAAAACTATTACAACAACAATAATAATAACAGATTATTGCAATTATTATATCAACAATAAAAGTATATAGATATTTGATTGTAAACTGATTATCATCAACAAAAGAAAAGGTATTTAATCCGTAACGTTGACCACTAGCATACTGACCAATGGAAAGTGAAAAGTGCAACAAAAAATTGCAAACAAATCAAATGGTGTAAATTGCTTGGGTTAACAATTGTTGCAGAATTGTAATGAAAATTGAGCTTAAAATCAACTTTATCAGTTTTTTTTGTTCACCATTCAATTGAATTTATTTCATGATAAGTTGGGGGAGAAATTGAATAAGAATCAATGAAAAAATATCTCCAAAAATATAATGGAAACTCAGCATTCTGGTCAAGATCTTGAGATGTATTTTTGTTAACGGTTATCTGGATTCACGAGAGATATTATTTTATTTTTTTCTTTTCCTTTTACAAAGTAACATCATTATCAGCAACAAAAGATGATGTCGATGACCATTCCGAAGATGAGGATCTTTTTTTTTTATCATACTGACCATCGTTGATATTTCAATTTGTTTTCTTGTTACTTGTCGCATCCTTTACTGATTGTTGATGTTATTATCATGAAATATTTTCTGCATTAAAGTTCACCAAAATTTTCAGTATCTTTTTCACCGTATTGGTCAAGATAATCTAATTTGGTCTTATCATCGTTTTGGTTTCACCGGACATACTAACCTGTGATTTCTGGACATTGAAGAAAAGTTGATTTCTAAATTCAGTTCTAGAACTTTGATAGTTTACTATCATCTCTAATTGCGATGGTTTCATCTCTCTGCATGGTAGAGATTTGAGTTTATCTTTTTAGAAAGAAAATAAAGTGATGTTAAAGAAAAGTTTCGAATTTTTTCTTATTTAGAACTTTATTTTTTTTTTCGAAATTCTTTTCACTGACTTTCCATTATCTGATATTAACATTATCAAATCAAATCTACTTCGGTAATAAGTCTTATCCTTTCAATCAGTATAATTCAATGATAGAGATACAATCGGAAAAGAAAACAATTTTGAGAATCGAAGAAAGAAAAAAAGTTTTTCGAAAGTTTTTCTTTCGATTTTGATCATTGCTGAATTTAGATTCGACCACTAACAAATTTAAGTGAATAAAAGTTTCCATGAGAAAATTAATCCGACTCAGAGAATCAGAGAGCTACAATCAGTGTGAAATTATTCAAAGAAAAGAAAAAGTTTCTCTTTCGAATCAGGAACAAAAAAATCGATATTAAATCAGTCAAGTATCAGAACTTTTTTTCTGTGACATGAAAAGGACAAAGAAAAGTTGATCGACTTTGAACAATCTATTACATGGAATGAACTTTTTTAATACCTCAACATACAAACTGTCATCTTTTCTTTACTTCCATCTGATATCATGACAATTTCGAGAGACTGAGTAGAAAAAAGTTCTGATGAAGAGGAAAAGTTTAATCTAAGGTAAATTCATAAGAGTATAAGAAAATGAATCAACTTTAAAGAAATTGAATCCAAGAAAACTCATTAAACTCATTGATAAGTTATCATGAAGAGAGCAAAGAAAAAAAATGAAACATTTCAATTTCATTTTCACAAATCCATGAGTTCATTTCATCATGAAACTTTGGTTGGAAATAAATTTCCTGATGAAATTACTAATATTTTATGTCACAACTTAAGTCATGATAAATTTAACCTTTTAAAAAGCATAATAATAAAAGGATTGAGACACTTTTCAAATTGACCCATAAATTTTGGTCTATGAGTTTTTCACACTTTTCACCCTGAAAAAATTGAGCAATCAGGGGACTAAATGTTAACAAAAGAAAGAGAGAAAATTTCTCACCCTGAACATTTTTTTCCTTCTTCCATTAACTTGACTGAATTTGCAACCTGGTCTCTGAATTTATGTTATTACCTCTACATTAAATTCATCGGTTTCATGAACACACTGAACTTTTCCACCATGTTAAAGTATTGGAAACCAGGATTGATATTCAAGTGAATATTGTCAAATTCAATATTATTAAGATAGGAAATGAGAAAATGAGAATCTTTTTTTTTCTATCAAATAATTAAAGCTTAAAATTCAATTTCCACTGAGCAAATAAAAAGTTCAGCATTAGTTCAAGTGAATAAGTCAGGATTGAAAAAAGTTCCAAGTATTCCTATTCAGTTTTACTAATTATAAACTTCATTTGACATTATTAATTGGTAACTGACAAGTTACAACAATCAGTTAATTCAATGATGCTCAAAGTTGATTAAAGATAAATCTTGCAAAAGTACAAAATGAAACATGGTAAAGGTTGAATTTCTAGTTGAATCATGTTCATGATAGATTTCATGGCTCTCATGACACAGAATGATGCTAAAAAAACGCCTTTTCATTGTTGAATAATTTGCCAGAATAATTATCATGGTCCAACCTTTTTACATGGTGATTTAAAACCTTACATATTGAACTTGTCACCGGTTTGCAAACACAAAGTCTCAGGTAAAAGTGCCAAAAATTTATATAATACAAATGACCAGTATACTTACTCACTCACACCCACACACATCTGAACCAATGGTTCATGTAAAGTTCAGGGTGATCATTGAACCAGAATAAAATAAACTACAATTCGGGTTAACATGTATAATTTTTTATTCCTCCTCTTCTCATTGAGTAAAAGGTTGACAAGTTGACCTAACAACCACTGACCATTAGGCAATTTATTTTCCAATGTTATTATTAAACTCATATTATAATGGATTCATAGGTAACTGGACATTGTTGCTTAAGCTTTTTTTGTGGTCGTCAGCTTGATTATATTGAAAATATTGTCATGATAAAAATGATCAGAAAAGTGATACTTTGATTTTTTTGTGTTCCTATTTTCAATTGTAAATAGATTGCATCTAATGCCCATTGGTCAATAATAGTAATAATAACAATCAATTGAATGCAATTTCATACCAATTTTCAATCATCTAGATCTTAGTTTATATTGTTTATTGTTTTCACCATTCATTTGGTCAATTGATGATTGGAATCATTTTTTCTCTCTCTCTCTCTTCTTACTTCTGTCCACTACTTTCAGGCTAAATATGAGAGGGTCAACTGACCATAATGATAAATGATAAACTTTTTGTATTCCTTTTCAACTGACCAAAGGTGAATAGGAATGGGTCAGGGTTGGGTATGTGTAGATTGAAGGTGAGAATATAATTTTTCATTCTTACCGAAAATGTCAGAATCTCTCTGATTCAGTGAAAATAAGATTATCCATTTGATATCATGATGATTATTTGATTTCAATCCAATTGAATGAATGAAACTTTTTTTTTCATTCTTCTCGCTCAAATTTCAAGAGCAACTCTGAAATT